GTCACTGCCCTTTGTAGTTACTTTCTGGTCTTCATCCCCTTTTCTTCACCGACCAGAAGCGGAAACATCTTGAGTTTTATGCAAGCCCGCATGCTGCTTGAGCGCAGCTGCCGCTCTCAGGCCATCTCCAGCTCCAGAATCCGACAGATGGAAGAACTCCAGGATCTGCCAAATCAGAAACTCAGCATACACAATTACTACTGTGTTTATTCCACACAGCTACCCACGAGGTTTCCCGATAGCAGCCAGCGAGTTCCCCTCTCAGGAAGGTCTCGCACCGTTCCTCATCACGCAGCCTTGATCACAGCTTACAAACTATTTTCAGAGCTTTCACAGCACTGCCAGCCTAAGGTTCACAAAGTGCTTTGAATAGGACAACCCTTTTCCTCCACAAAATGACTTACAGAGCTCTCTGATCAGAAGTCTCGGCCTCCTTTTTGACATTTGCCACAAAATTTTCACACGGCACTCCAGCTGCGTGCACCAGGTATAAGGCCTATTCCACAAGCATACCCGAACAGTTTTTACCTCACTCCTCGTTTTACCTGCTGATGGCGCTCAGCTACTCTAGTTGCAAGAAGAGAACGGACCATGGGTTGGGAATAAAAAGTAACGTATACACTGAAGCGTGGCAGCAGCTCTTCCTCCCTTTCTAGCCGGCTTTCCCTGAGGCATAAGCGAGAAAAAACAGTGCGCCTTTCAGAGATACCTCAGCTGAAAGCGCAAGTCACTCTGGTCAGAAGAGCCTGTCACATCCCACACGCTCTCTTTACCTGTGGAAGAGAAAGATGAAAAAACGTATAGATGCAGCAGTGCTGCTCTGGCCCCTTACCGAAACACTCACTGTGCAACTCGGGGCCACTTTAGTGCTGCAACCAGCCACCGGGTGTAGTCTACTCATCTAGCCGAGATGAGGCTGTGGGGCATCGGACCAGGGAAAAAAACATGCCTCTATGGAAAGGGAACGTCTCTTGTGGCTGCGCCTCACCCTGGAAGGCAGAGAGCCTTTCCATTTATCAAGATTGACTCGTCTTTCTTGAGGCTTCTCTCCAAAGCTCGTTGCGAATGTCTGACATGGGCCAGGGCTCTCAATAAAGAGGTCAGCACGCTTTTCACTCAGTGCAGTTAAAAGAAAAAACGAGACCAAAGTGGAGTTCCAGGGAGCTTTTATTGAGTTTAATCAACAAAATCAGGATTTTACCATTCATCTTTTTTGCACTTGGAACTCATGAAGCTCTTCACAAGTCAGTGCTGCGACGCACATACAGCCAGAGAAATACATTCTCAACAAAATCTGAGCTCCACTGGAGTTTGCCAATTACTGATTTAACAGAAAGCCAATTTTCCCCTCCCTCCCCTGAATGTTTTCAAGGACTAGTCCATGTTGTTTGCTGGTTAACAGTAAGAATACCAACGTCTTGACTAGGGACCAGTGGATTATGATACTCCACCTGAATTGCAAATAATTTCTTTTCTTGAAATAAAAGTTCCAGTTTCTCTCAATAAAGGGAACAGTGACTATTTTCTTCTCCTGACACCCCTTCCCCTTAATTATTGGTTAAAATACAGCAAGGCTGTATCTTAATAAACCCATCCCTCCCCCCACCCCTCCTTACCCTTCCCTGGCTTGTCTACAGCAGAATTTAACAATGCTTCCACGTAGGGACATTTTAGCAACACAAGGGTGAACTGAGCAAAACCTACAGGATAATCTGCCAAAGCCTCACTCTGAAGAGTGGATGCACGCCCTTTGGTCCAGAGACCTGATTTATTATCAAGAGAAACTGTGATTCACACAAGGTGGACCAGAAGTTCACAGCAATCTGAAAACTCCCTGCGCGGACTACTGCTGCCCAACCTTTACCGTGGCAACCATGCTGCTGGAGCTCCTGGGAACGAAATTCACTTCGTCCTCAGAAAGCAACAGCTGCTCGGCCCCAGCGGCACGACCAAGTCTGGCACCAGGACAAGAACCACCACAACGGCAGCTCGGGAGACGTGGCGTGGCATCTCCATAACCTCTAGAACAGAAACCGAGGCAGAACAGCCATCTGCTCAGGTTTGTGTCCTATCAGTCATTTGAAAACAAAACAAAACAAAAACAACAAAAAACCACCCACAAACCCACAAAACAAAACCCCAAACAAGCGTGTGAAGCATTTTTAAATCCTTGGAGCAGACACCCTCCCCCATCCCAAGTAAAAAATAAAGAACAAAAAAGATCAGAATGAGATGATTTGATACCAACACATACACAACATGAACTCATGTTGAGCTTCCCTGTTCTTACCCACAGAAAAGTCACAGAGGGCAAAGGAAAGATGCTCCCATCTCATTCTGGAAATCGAAACACGTATTTGAGACCAGACCACCCCCCCCCCTTCGGGAAAAGCCCTCCAGCAACTGCAGTGCACTCCTGATGGCACACACCCAGAGACCAGCCTACAGTTTCTCTCGAGTAAGCTGGTCGAGGATTCGCACCACCCTCTTCACAGCCACTTCTTCACCCAGCTGTGAAGCTCCATTTCATCAGATTCACAGAGTGACGCTTTTAGACTTGCAAGGGGAAAAGTGCACAATACATCAGATTCTCATTCACGTCATCTTTGTCAGAGAAAGTATTTGACCTAGGGCTCATCACTGAAGGCTCCAACTAATGCATAAATGTAAAGGCTGGTATGCGACCAGCAAAAACAGGAGCTCGCAAGGAATCTCAGGAAGCCAAGATTTATACACGCTCCTTATTCCTGGGTAGGGAAAAAAAACAACAACAACAAAAAAAACCCAAACAAAACACCACCCCACCCTCCCACCCCCCAAAAAAAAAAAAAAACTAGGATTATCCTAGTCATTTGGAGCATCTTTCCATTTGCAAGATCGCATCTGTTAGAGATAGCCTACTAGCACCAAAAATAGGCTGCTTCCTTCTTGACAAGAAGCCACCTAAAAATGGTGCTGCCGATAGTTTAGGTAAGTGCCAATCCTCGAATAGAGGCCAAGTTTAAAGTAATACTTTCAAAAGTTCTGTGCTTCAAGAGGGACCATCAACGCATGGCACCAGGCTAACCTACACAAATCCAAGCAGGGCACACACGCCTGACTCGACATCGCTATCCATCGCATGTTATATGTGTGTGCCCTGACAAGATACAAAACTTTTATTTACATTTTTCACGTCTTTGTTGCACTAAAGTGATCCCTCTTCTGTCTCTCTGGAAAATCGTAAGCTGGCTGCAGTACAAGAGCAAGATTTTACTTTTGGTCAAAGTTACCACCCACAAACTCCCACCCCCCACCCCCAAAAAGCACCCCAAAATTGTTTACATTTAGTACCTGCCAGTCAGATGTAAGCTGTGTGGCTCACAGAGTGTCTGTGACCAAGCTCTTGAGTTTGTACTCTAGTGCAGCATTTGCTACAATTATGGAGTCACTGCTGACAAAAGGAAAAAAAAAAAAAAAATCCCAAACACAAAAACCTTTCCATCTTGTAAAGTTGTTGTCAGGAGGCACCTGGCTTCTATTTATGATCCTCAAGGAAACGGATGGGTAAGTCCGCCTTGTAGTTCCAAACAATTTCACTCAAATTTAGGAAAAGGGTCAAAATGGGGAGAAATTAAGAGAAACAAGTCATTCCTGCCTCAAAGGTAAGCAAGCGTGGTGTGAGTGCAGCATCTGTATACGCAATAAACGACTGAGCAAAGGGGACTGCATTCATCCAGGTGCCTCCTGACAGTGTCGGTGAACAGGCTAAAAGGGAATTTAAAAAGAGTACGGTTTTTGATTTGTCTCACTCCTTTTGCCTGTAGATCAGGCCAAACATCAAGCATGTTGGGAGGGGCACAATTTAAAGCAACACTACTTGACCAGAAAGCACTTTTCAGCAATATACAATGCAAAATGACAGACAGCAGTTCATGCCAAAACAGAGAAGATGGCAAACAGCTTTCTGCAGCTTCTGACGTTAACAGGGGTTCGCCCTTACCTGCTCACGAGTCTGTATAGAGGCTGCTCTGGGCAGAAAACGCACAATGCTGCAGGAAGTAAATCAATCCCATAAAGTTCCAGAGCTGTCAACTTTATGCATGTAGATTGGTTGTCTATGGTTTCTCTTAAACCCAAATCCATGCCTTATGCATATACTGCTCAGCAACTCTGACACCCGCTGGATTTCCCTCACGCCATGGTGGAACACAGGTCATGGCCCCCTTCAGAGCTTGTCAAGTTCCTGAAGTTTCTAAGGGGGAAATCAAAGAGCCTCTCCCAACAGGCTGAGCTACAGCTTTTGAGGCCTCCCAGCCCCACAAGCAATCTCTTCCACACGAGCGGTACAGGACAGTGTTGCTAGCACCAGAGCAAACCCACCCTGATAAGGGACGCTTGTAGAGGCCTGCTCTTCACAGAGGTCAGAGCACTTCTCATTGTTTAGTGTTGCAGAAAACTGAGCCCCTCTCATCTTTAGCTGCTCCCATAATCAGTCTAATCCCTTTAACCCCAGCAACCTTCATCACAAAAGAAAAAGTTATATATGAACCCAAACAGAAAAAAAATATTTACAAAGTTTGTACAATATACACATCTGATTTTCTATGGGACACACCGCACCAGAGGAAAGAGGGCCATGGCTCTGAAACAAGTCTACATATCAAGTGCTGTAACTACTAATGGAGACTCTTATGGAAACCAGTCTTTAGTGTTCTGCTAGAGCATAGGGCTTTTCTTATGGCTCCTGCAAAGGACAACAGGCTACTCTTTCCTTCTGGAGCTATGATGCTGCACCTAATCAGCCCAGATTTTAAGTTGGTTTTGTTTTAAATACAGGTATTTACAGTGTGGGTGAACTGCAGATGCATATCAACTCCTCCAATTAAAAAAAAAAAAAAAAAAAAAAGAGTTGAAGAAAAAGTAGTATTACCAATACATTTCACCTCCCAGCCCTGGGCTCGAGTACTTGGGGAGGAGGAAAGGGGGAAGAGAGGGGAACTTTGACCTGAAACCAAAAAACGGCTGTTGATTCCTTGGGCTGTGTCGGAAAGGTGATATTCTGAATGGTCTCATAGCATAAGGCACTTTGCACGAATAAGTAACAAGCTCTTTAGCTTAAAAACAGATGAGTAACCAGGGAGAAGTTGAAATGCACTCAGTCAATGGTTGAAGAATTTGAAATCGCAGACAAGCTCGTGTTTGTAAAGATTCTTCTCTTTTCAGGGTTTCTCTTCTTCCCTTGCTGCCCCTCCCACCCAAAGAAAAAAAAAATTTAAAACCAGCAGTTAGTGCAACTAATGTTCAATCAGCACACAGTGCAAACAAGTGGAAAAACAAAAAGACATTCCTCCTTTTATCTTCTTTCTTCCTTGCTGCCAAATTTAAAAAGAAAAAAAGGCCGAGCTCTTTAGTCTTCATAGTTCCAAAATGAAAAGACGAAGAAAAACCCACAAAGAGAAGGGTATCCCCAAAGAAACGATGTGTCACAGATCCGGATCAAAGGGCTTCACCTTCTGGCATGTGTAATCAAAGTCTAAAAGAAAGCAAACAAACAAACAAAAAAAAAAACCACAACACCTACAGTTAAATCAATTCTATGTAAAACCAGAACATAAGCAGTGAGTCACACTGACTACGTAACAGCTCTGGAAAAGCAAAGGGTGCTTGGAACAGCTCAAACTCAACCATCGCTTTGCAGAGAGAGGTGCTGCTAATGCCCTACCATACCTATGCAGCACAACTACCTACTGATTTACTCATCCTTTAGGAAGTGCCAAAGAGTTCTCAGGCAAGGTCACAGCATTCCCCTTAAGGAAGCCACCCAAGAGCCTCTTCCAAGTTCATCACCTGGGTTTTTTTATTTATTTATAAAACATGAAGAAAGCTCAGACAGCAAAGCAGAGGCTCCAAGTCGGATTGGCGTGACTGGCTAGGGCTATCTTTAAGCGATTTCAAAGGGACATTGGTTCATTTTAACGCTATCTAGTGGTCTGCTTCTATGGCCATGGCTTTTCTTTTTTGTCACCCGAGAAGAATTTCAGGAGCTTCACCAGGATTCTCTAATTCGTGGTCTATGAGAACACTACACAAAAGAATGATTTCTACTTCAAACTGTACGGTGTCTGATCTTGCACGACACAGCACCTTAACTAAAACCAGATCAAACATCATCATGTAGCTATCTCGCTTGACTGCAAGCCAGGGCGAGTGTTCTTCTTACAAAAGGACTCTACACAGCGGTTTTTCCTCAGGCAATGATCTGAAAAGGCGCACTTAACAGTCTCTGACAGGGAAACTTCGTTTTCTCTAAAAGCTATGTAGACGACCTCAAGTGGCAGCACATGTGAATTACAGCTTTGTTACCTACTTCGTTTATTTGCAAGAGTTCAATGAACCAAAGGATGCAAAAGATGCAACACCTTTAGCTTGAACCTATTCCTTCTAACTGGTGAGGTGCTCAGGCTCTTCTGTCGGTGCTCTGTTCTCAAAGCTATCCATTTTCTCTCCTCACCTTTTTGAGCACCACCTCCCTTCTCTGCTCCTCGCCAATTTCTCATTTTAGCTAAGCAATACAGAAAGAATTCCTTAGGCTACTAGCAGCCACCCCAGCCTCTCCAAACACCATTCCTCGCTCCCTCTTTCCCCCCATTTTTGGTATCCTTAGCATATGGTCAGAATTTCAATGAGAACAACTAAAAATTACTAATCCTCCCCTCCCAGCTTCAGCACATCCACAGAATTCCTTGCACTGACAGTCTATTTCAAACCCTTGTTTGCATCCAGAGCCTCTTCAGCACATCGGTTTCCCTCTTCCCCAGCCGTAACATTCACACATCATCTCTTCTTTCACCCAACATAACTTCTCTATCCAGGAAGGCATTTACATACGCACATGTTTACTGTTTCTCATCTTCTACAGGTTCACTGTGGTATTCTGCCACATACAGGCTCTTGTCAATGTTGCTTGGTATGGGTTTAATTTCAGTTCCCAACTGCTCCTCAATACTTTTCAGGTTGAATCGATCATCATAGGTGATCAAGTTGATGGCCAGGCCGAGATGACCAAAGCGACCTTGACACAAAAAGAAACGCCAAAAAATAGAAGACTTAAGTGAGTAATAGAATGCCGATTGAAAAAAATCTGCAGACTGTGGAGTTAACAACATCACACTCCGATCACAGAAGCAAATCCAGACCCTGCCACATGTGTTTACAGCTTTCACATCAGTCTCAGTCTTTGGTAAGGAGTTTCATACTGCCATAGGAATAAGAAAACCAAGGAGGTTCAAAATGCTCCGACCAAACCTGCGCATTAATTACCAACAAAAACTCTTCCGCTACTGCATTATGCACGTCCAGCCCTTCTTCCATAACAGCATTCTTGAACAAGCCTGAATTACAAAGTTCAAGTACACTGAGTTCCTCTGTTTACTGCCCTTCTTAAGGGCATATTTTGCTGATGTCCAGATATTACAAACATACCTTGGAGCACACACGGAAAAAAACCCCTATGCTTAAGACACCATGGAAGCTAAGTTTTCAGTATAGAATTTTCCCAATCTGCAAACAGGATCATCAGTAAGTCTCCTGAGATTAAAGCAAAATATGTTGGTGGGTGGGTTTTTTTGTTTTCTTTTCCATTAGGCTGTTCAGGCCAGTTTCAAGAGAACAGTCCTTTATGCAGGTATTTATAAGGATAACCATCTGCCATGATACCCAAAAGTAAGCTCGTCAGAAAAATCAAGGCTATCTAAAATAATTCTCAGATACAGTAATAAAAAAAAAGAAGCCAATTCAAGCCTAAGAAACATCAGAGTCGTCAGCAAAATTGGTTTTCCTCTCACCTGATCTGCCAATACGATGGAGATAAGTCTCTGCCAGCTTTGGGAAATCAAAGTTTATCACCACATTCACAGCTTGGATATCAATACCTCGGGTAAACAGATCTGAAAGACAATCCAGGTCACAAAGACAGTTCATTTCAATGAGATCAAATGCTGACAGTATTTAGGATGGAAGGATTAACAATGATTAATTAACATTGGTTTGCACTAGCTTCCAGATATAAGCTTCCCTTGTATCAAAGACAGTTTACATACAATTCTGTTACATCGTCTTCTTGCTCTTCGTCCGTTATAAACATGAATAATACAAGAAGAATGACCAAAATACCAGACCTGTGCATCTATGCCAAATAAGTAATTAGCACAAAGCTAGTGTTTTTCCACATGAGACTACTTCTGAGCAGGTCGTCTTAGAGAAGCATCTCCTCACACACTATTGTGCATTGCCAATGTCACAACAGACTTGAGAGCCGAACTGCATCCTGTTAGCTCAAGTATTTTAATTCCGCTTCTACTGATTTTTGTTAAGACGACCCAGACACACGTAGTGATCAGCAGACGCTGCCACAGTACTGCCCAAACAGGTCATACAACACAGTATTTGATCATACACAGGCCAATCAAAAATATAAAAATATTTAGAAGAGATGAGCTACAAGCATTTAAAGAATCGGTAAAGCTTACCTCGGTGACCCTAGCCACAGTTCTACCTAGGCTTTGTATACCTATGGCCCAACAATTCAGAGAGTACTCACATGTGAAAACATACAGAAAACATAACTAGTGCAGAAAATACTATCACAGTAAAAGGATTTGTTAGCAAGTTGCACCTTCACGGTTTGTCACAGAGGACAACACCTAGCGCTGCACCCTGCTACACACAGGCCTGACGAAGGCTTTTTACCAAAAGACACTGTTTTGCTTTGTCACGAGTCCAGTGATCTATTACACCTGGGCTAATGGCTAATCCGCTTTCTACCACAACCTTTAGAAAGATGAAAATGTTTAGGAACTCTTACCAGTGCAAACAAGATTGCGGCATAAGCCATTTCGGAAATCGTGGAACACACGATTGCGGTGCTCCTGGAAAAAAAAAAAGTGTAAACAAAGCAAAACAACCAAAAACAACACCAAAAAAGCCCCAAAACCAACAAACAGCTGTGACTTTCAGGCATATTCAAGTTACAACCACTGCACTTCAATCACATGAATTCCTCCTCATCATCGTAAGAGAACAGCTAATTCAAACAAAGCTGCTAGTACGTATTCTTTAGCACTTCTTACCCTTCTATTCTGAAGGATTTACCAGAAGCGCCCTTGGTAGAACTTTTAGACAAAGATACTTAACTGAGTGTTGTAAAGCCTCCTACAGTTGCTTCAAAGCCATTTCAGAATTGGAGTATCTTAAGTTACAAATTACATGAAATGCACGTCAAGGAAGTTAAACTGGTATTTTTACTATCATCTTCCCCCAGCCCCCTGCCAAAATTCGATGAGTGCTTTAGTCATTCTCCTGAAAATTGAAGCCAGCAGTAACTTTATTTTCCAGTATGGAGTATTGCTCACTACTGATTCTGAATGAAGGGTGGGGTGAGTCAATTGTGTCCGTCTCTTACAAACAAGTCACTTTGGACCACACAAAGATTAAGCAGTATCACTGGTAAGGAGTTAAATTAACAGCAGGAAAGTTGAAGGCTTCCACAAAAACATACCTGCATTTGGCCACAAAGATCATCTTGTGACTGACCAAAAGCATACAAAAATCAGACCTCAAGGAATCCATTTGCATATCTCTCCGTTCTCAATACCGACAGCGCTTCTATTTCTACTTAATTAAGTACTGGTCTGCATATGGCCCAAAAAACACTGGCTGTACCTGTCGGGTCCATAAACAGCAAGCTAGGTTCCCTCTAAAGCTTTCATTTTAATTTATTCTAGCTTAGACATAAAATGAAAAAAATATTTCAAAGTACTACTGTTTTACACGTGTCACTTCAACCTTCTGACATCTTCTAGTACACTTGCTGAAAACAAGGAAATTGCAAGTATGAAGCCTGAGGACATGTAAGTTAAGGTATAATTAACAGAACCCTCTGCACCAGCAAAGCTGCACCGGCATTTTTCATCATCTACCCCAAAGCCACAGGTGCTCAGTCGCCATACACCAGTCACGGCTTTCGCCAAGAGGTTTGATCAAAGCCTTCTCCCCGACTTCAGATTCCCCTGCAGTCCTAGTGCAAGATTTACTGTTCCCAAAGCCACACGGGGCACTCGACCTGCTGACTACTGGCTTTTTTGTCATTTGTTTTAAATCAGGCTCACTTTCATCTGCGTCAGGTACATCACGTGGTCTACCATGGCTTCCCATGCTGGCAAAAACAAGGCAGCAGCAGCAAGAACTGTGCCTTCTGGCCGTGGCCTGCGCTTACACTGGACTAATTAACCTGACCTGAAATACTCTTAAATACCAACTGACCAGCTACACTGAATAGCCTGCAGAGTGGTTTAATGAGGGGCAAAAGGGGTGTCTGAAACCAAACTGAGAGCAAAGCAATACACGTTTCAGTTTTCAAAGAACATGCACCTTTAAGGAAAGCACGAGACTTAATTCAGCTATGCAGTAAAGCTTGGGGTGGTGTGTGATAAACTGCTATTAACTTCATACTCACCTGCCTCATTTTAGCATGGATATAGAAGCAGGAATAGCCCAGCTGGGAGATCTTTTTGGCTAACAATTCAACCCGTTGAGAAGAGTTGCAGAAAATGATCGACTGGTTAATCTGGAGCTGAACACAGAAGTAGCGTGCTCAGTAAATGCAGTATTTTTAATAACAAATGATCCAACGCCTAAGTCTACATCCCCTCCAGAAAGAAAGCAAAGCAGGTACACTGCTGTAATTTACACAGTATGTATTTTTGTACAAGGAGGTAAATATTAATGAAGTTCTAAAACACAAAGGTGCAGGACAAGAAGCACACATTTTTAGCTCCGGATTATATCATAAGATTAGCACATTTTTGACAAGGGAAAAGTATCGTTAAGCCATCTCTGCCACCCTCAGTCTTATTCTTGGTTCCAAAAGGAAAAAAGCTCCTGTATGTTCTTGAATGAGCCCTACTGCTTACCCTGGAAAACAGCGTATTGAGGCAGTGTACTTTCTGACGCTCAGTTACATAGGCGTAGTACTGGGTAACTCCCTTCAAGGTCAGCTCCTCCATCAGATTAATCTCGTAGGGTTTCTGCAAATGGGAATTCTGAAAAATAAAGATAAGGATAAAGCAGGCATATCTACATGCAAAGGAACCTAAGTACTTCCCACCCTTCGGCACATTTCACTTCCTCCACGGCCTGATGCAGTACCTAACCACTCACTCTTCATGCTATAAACAGACAGAGTGGGTAAAGTGTCACAAAAGGTTATTTATAAATCCAAGGCGACCAAGCGGGCCAAACAGGAGCACCCTCTGGAAGCAAACAAGTGCAGATGGCAGGTGAGTGATGTACAACGTGGAAAGCAGTACCTTATAGACAAGAACTGTGCGTACATGGCTTTCCCATTAACGCTACTGCGGGTCAAAAATTATTTTCAAACCTCTGTCCTAGATTTAAGCTGATTTAGATTAAAACAGTGACGTTTGGCTGCTTTAAAAATAAAAAAAAAAAGAGCACCAACAGCTATACACCACCCGTTCACACATTTCACCTGCAACATCACCACCATTATATGTATGTGAACACATCTGCACTCACCATGAACTTCTGTACACTCAAAGGGAAAGTGGCTGAGTAGAGCAAAATCTGTCTGTTTTTAGGTAGCGTGAGAATAATGTCTTCCATTATTTGAACAAAATCTTGAGACAGCAACTTATCTGCCTGTAATGACAGAAGTAATAAAGAGTACATTAAATTAATGGGGCAAGATTTCGGTCTTCTGGTAGTACCACACTGCAGGGGAAAAAACCCAAACCCCAAACCAAAACACCAGGAGCATTCTCCCTGCCCTTACAGTGGGATCGTCACCTTTGGAGCACACACCACGGTCCAAAAGACGTGCGATGTAGCTGCCGGAGACACAATTCATCAGTAAAAGAAAGTTTACCCTCTCCTGGTTTTCAGCACTTTGATGTAAACAGAATCAAAGTCAGGAAAAATAAGTGGAATTTAAATTGAAAACAGTTATCAGGGTTCCTATCAAAGTCATCCAAGAGCTCTCACACATCTATTTTCTCAACCTTTTACTCAGAAACCCGTACACTATTGGATGTTCATAAATCCGTTTTGTATTGAATGATGTGGTTAGCACAGCTTGCTCACTATAAACTGAAACCAAATTAAACTAAATGCATTCCTTCATTTCAAAGTAAATGGTTAAACTACTCTTCAGGAATAGCAAAGATGTCAGGAAAGGCAAATCTCCTAGGCTGTTTTCTCAAAACATTCACGTGCAGAAAAATTCTTCTGCCAAAATACCTTCTCAAAAATACTGAGAAATGGATGAGCTATATAACCTCATAGGGCCTCTAAGCAAAGTTTGATTTGTTGCTGTGCATAACGAGGGGACTCGCTGAGACACAGCACTGCTTTGATTTGGTGTTAAGATCCCAAAACATTTAACATGAGCAACTTGCCTCATCCAATACTATCATCTGGACATGCTCAACTTTCGCTACTCCTTTCTTGATGAGATCGAGAATTCTCCCAGGGGTAGCTATCACCACATGCACTGTAAGGTTAGAAAAAAAAAAAAAAAAAAAAGTTAAGGCGACTAAAACAACGTTTCCAGCATTCACAGCCCACAGCCATGTTTCATACAAACAGTTTGAGGGAATAATGACAGCATACAAACAGCAAACACGACATATTGTAGTCTGTTCTGTAACAGACAAACGATAACAAGCAGAAATTCCACTGCCACACTACAAAAGACACAAACAGCAACCGTAGTGTAGCAAAAGCGCTCCGACCTGTATCATCAAGCCTCATTATGTCATCTCGCAAATTGGTTCCTCCTGTTGTTGCCATCACTTTGGCACCTCCCATGTGTTTGCTGACTTGGATACAGATTTGACTGACCTGCAGGGCTAGTTCACGGGTGGGAACGATCACCATTGCTGAAAGTTAAAAGTGTCAGTATGAGTTACTAGTAACACACTGTATCTTCAAATACTAATCCTTAAAGGAGACAGAGGCTTTATGAAAGCTATACTTCTACATTTTTGGAGTTCTGCTCTGGATATCCTGAACAAGACCTAGAAACTCCTTACGACAAGGCAAATTCCATGCAAGGGGTCTCCGTCCCTCGATATTCCCTTTGTGCAAGTCCCCCAGCCAGCACGCTTGCTTTTTACTCCAAATCCACTTTCTTGGGCAAGACGGTGAAGTCCAGAAGATGCCTTCCATTTCACGCTTTTGAAAGCGACCCTGGGACTTTCAAAATTCCACCTCCCCATTAACTTTCTTTGAAAGTACAAGCAGATAACCTGTGCTGCTCAATGTCATTGACCAGTTTTAGATTCAAGTCTGCTACATAGCAACCGATACCATTACCTGGCTGCATCTAAGTGAGATCCATCTCAACTGACCTTGTATATTGTCCTTCTTTAAGTCTAGCCGTTCAAGTAAAGGAATGAGGTAGGCTCCACTCTTGCCTGTTCCATTTTTCGCTCTTGCCAAGATATCCCTACCAGATAAAGCAATGGGGATGCTCTCCTCCTGAAATGCAAAACAGAGAGCGCACGAGCAATCGTAAGCCACTCGCTAGTAGTATCACATGTAATCAGATTGTTTCATGAACAGAATGTTCTGCACCTGCAAGCATCACAAACTCACAACAAGGAGTTAAACCTATCAGTAAAGATTTCTCCAGCAAAGCAATCGCTCCGCTCCCCATATCCCACTAAAAAGCCCTTATCTTGCCCGGTCACAAGAGAACCAGGGATCAAGTACTACAGACACGGTAAGCCCACGCTGACACATGAGGAAAAAAGTGACAAATTAAGAAAAAAGTGAAGAGACAATGACAGTCACTAGCAAACTCCTCCTACGGAAAAAGAAACCCATCTATATGGTAACGTCAGAACCCCCTCAGCCCATGTAATTCAAACCCGCAGGCTCCCGCAATATACTTCCCATAAAACCAGCAGGCCTTCCTTTTGAAACTTCAGCCCTTCAAACACAGGCCCCAAGTATTTTTCACTTTACTGTCTTTTATAGCAAGATCTAAAGAGCCCTCAGCCTTTTGGAAAAGCAGCACGGTTAGATCTGTTTTAAAGCAGACAAATTACCTGAAAGCCATAGCCTTCTCATGCCTTAAGAGGATAAAGTGCAGAGCTGTGTCAGTGATAATCCTCCAAAGAGCGATTAAAAGAGAGTTCAACCTCCCCACCGCCCTGAAGCTTACACATCAACAGTTCTTAATAGAACATGCCTTGAAAGTAAAAGCAAGATGCAGGGACAGAAAAGTAAACTTGCTAACATATTAGTCTCTCTCCCATAATCTCCATTACGCTTCGTGCAAATGCTTATGATAAAAAAAACAAAGACCGCGGGATATAGCCATAGTTATCTTTGTAACAGCTAAAGGTATGCAGCCTGTGGTAACTCAGTTTTCCAGAAAATTTACAGAACAGACCTGTTCTCACTGGGACTACTCATGCGAAGGATGTTGCTGAACAGAGGATTAACACACTAATGCCTCCAGGGTGAAACGGAAAATCCAAGTTAACTTCTCTAAAGCGTAAGCCAGTCCCATCTCTAAAGTCACCGATTGCGTGACTTGGTGGATTTAGTCAGTTGTTAGAAATTCTCACCTTCCCCAAAGGGCCACCAAGTTCCACTGTTCAAAACCCCAGTTTTCCCAAATCATGACATGAGCATCCGACATTTAAGCACGATTCTTGAATAAGAATTTCAATAAATTTATCAGAAGTAAACGCTGCTAGTAAGTAGCGTGTTTGTCAATAACCTGAATAGGAGATGGTTTTTCCCAGCCCATTTCAAAAATTCCCATCAGCAACTCCCGTTTCAAACAGTAATCTTCAAACTCGTTTCCTTTCGTGGAGGTCACGTCCTGAATAATCAAAAAAAAAGCACATCCGTAAGATTAGGTCATCCAACCCGCAGCTGTAGATTGGTCTGACTCAATGAAGAGATTGCCTATGCTGGAAGACCACAAAGTGCATTCCACTACATAGGAGTTCCACTTATGTGTGCAATGCCATACAATGGAGAGGGAAGCATTAGCTTTCTCATAACCAAACACACTACTATGAACACACACTGACATCTTTCCATCAGCCTTTGCAAGAGACACTGACAGTAATCAATCCCATGCTGTCAAATTAATAAAGTAAGAAACACACAGTAAACTCTGGTTTTGAGCTTTCCAAGAGAAGTATCTCTCCCAAGCAGTTGTAGAACAGATTACTTCATTTAAAACAGCAAGAGCTGAAATACTTTTGAATGTTTGCTTAGGACAAATATTTTGTCACTGCAGCTTCTCCCACATCTTTTATTTAGTATTTATTCCTACAATTCAACCATCCTTACCGAAGTTTTGATTCTCAAATCCTTTGGAGGGAGTTTTAAAGTCTTCTTCCAGTCATCACCAGGTCTGTAGGGCAAAATAAAATAAAAATTAAAAGCAAAAAAACGGTTTAATATTTTTATTTTGTATTTTATTTCCTTCGATACAGTGACGAGCGTGTAATTTTTTCACCTTCTGAAAGCTAAAAGCGCCTACGCATATGAGCTCAAGTCTTCTCTAAGCTAAGCAGGATGCAACAGGCAGGAAACTGTAAACAGCGAAAATCAGCAGCCTGCCAAGCTCACAGAGAATTTGTGAAATCTTTATCTAGTCATGATTCAAATCCCATTTTTAGGGCACTGAATCAATCCAGTAGAACACATTTAAAACTGAGTACTGACTCAGTCATATGGCAGAAACTGGCTATAATAAATCCACATGAGAATATTTCAACACTTAAAAGGAAGAAAAAAAAAAGTCTCATGCCCAAGGAACATCCACTCTTAATCCGTGAGTAATGCGAGAAGATAAAACACACTTTTGGGGAGAAAATTAAGCAAGCACACGCTCCACTTGTTGATCAAATGTTGTCTTTTGCTCTCAATGAGATGTAGACACTCATCCTCTCTCAAAAACCACCGTACTGAGGAGAGTAAGACCCTCTCTTCCCCAATCCCAGCCAACCAAGAGTGAATTTTGACAAGTTTAACTCACCAGTTTCATTAGAGTAACCCATTTGAAAAGAAAGAAGGGAAATGAGTTAGAGAAACTTTAAGAGCTAGAGCATTCCATTACGCACCCTCTGACGACGGCTAGCATTTCCTTTGCAAATAACTGAGTAACAAAAGAAAAGTGAATGTTGTTCAGGGGGAGGAGGAACCACAAGGGAAAAGAAGAAGAGGAACACATTACCGTACCATCCAAGTCTTACGTCTTTCAGAATTTCCAACCAGCACACTCACATTTTATTAGCACACTGCCAAAACCAGTTTGATGGTAGAAGGGTATCACAGTGGTACCATATTACCTTGGCTCAGGCTTTGATGAATTAAAGCCGGAGCATTACACAGAGGAGAGCAAGCACTACTATTTAAGATCAATGACAAAAGATAACCGACTTTAAAGAATTTCTCACCACGAGAAAAAATTGCAACAAACAACTGAAAAGCATACACAACTGGACTGAGACTAGGTGGTGTTTCCTCCTCTGTCTTAAATTTCAGATCAGTTCCTTCCCACTCCCCAACTTCCCTCTCACACCACTCGTAATGAGCAAAGAAAACAGGAGGATGCTGCTGCTCAGTGGGCTACCTCTGACAAGCAGCTACACGTTCTGAAAAGCAAAACATCAAATTCAATTTTCACAACAAACACATTTCAAAGATCGCTTGCATGTGGAAATAGAGCTTTCCTTTCATAATGCCCATCACAGGGCACTTCTAACCGCCAGTGTCACAAAACAACAGAAGAATACTTTTTAAACACAGGAACCCAAGAACACTTTCCCACACGTGACTTTTAAACATTACTTCTGGGGTAGCCGATACAAACACTTACTTAATAGCGGTGGTCATACTCTGTGCTTGCTGTTGAGTGCCGTTATTGATTGTGTTGGCATTTTTCAGCTGGTTCATCTGTTGCTGAGTTTGTGTGCCTCCACCTCCTGGGCCCCCGCTGGGTTTTACAGGGCCTCTCAACTGCCCATTCTGACTGGATAGACCCATTATAACAGGGTTCTCTGTTCTGGCCGTGCTCATGTTTTTATTTTTAAAGATGTCTTTTTAGACTTCAAAACTTTGAAAGTCAGTACAGAAACTGTAATAACAGTTTATTAGACTCTCCAAAACGAAGAGATAAATAAGTCTTGCTCAATATATGAGTCCTTTATTGCAATGCAGGCAAGCACCTGTAAGTCACTCAAAAGTAAAGTAGTAACTTGCTCTGATGCACTGTGGATCAACTTTTTTTTAAAAAAAGCCCTCTAACAAAGTTGAGTTATATCAGAATTCACTTGCTTCAATCTGAAAGAGAAGCAGACGACAATGATTAGCATGTGGACTTTTTCCTACATAAATCACATCAGTTCACCTTTGTATTTTAAGAATCACTTCTTCCCAGGCAGTGTGCAACAACAGTGCTTGCTTCTGTTTTCTCGGTGATCACTATCGAGGCACGCATAAAGCTTGCTTCCCCTTTCTCCCTTCAGTCACCAAACATAATTTTCTGACCCGCTGTACTTTTAGCGGCCTTCCAGTAACTGCTTGAAAAATACTATCATACCTCCCCCCGCTCCTCCCGTAAAGTAAGCATGAATTACATTAATTGCTTTGCCGGCTCTTGACATTCCCCCTCTTCTGGGACACAGCAAAGCAGCCCTAAAATGCTAAGCAACAAGTTATGCACAAGTTTGTGACAGGAAGCAAGACCACAACATCAAGCGGACATTCCAGTCAGAATTGAAGAAACCCTTAAGTTACTCTGATCACCCGTTTCACTTCAAAAGGGAAATAGAAATTACATTATTTATTTAAAAAAAAACACACACACCAAAAAAATTCCCAAACAAAACACACAAATCGCCAACCCAAACCCACAGAAAACAGTTTACCTTCCTCCAACCGAAAATTTCGGTTCAACGAGCTTACTCAAACTTTTAAATTGGGTATCGATTAACGCCATTCAGAATAGCGAAACTAACAATATCATCAAGCTGAACTGACAGTAGCTTCCTGTTTTGATAAGTCTAAATGATTGAGCCCAAACTAAAGCAGTGAGTAACATACATTTACACTTGATATCTAGCTTCCTGCTTATGCGTTCCACGTGACGTTACCTTCCAGCTGTCAGTAACAACTCATATTGCTCTCAAAAGATAACATTTGGTACACATCACTTAATATTGACACCGTATTTAACAGAAAGGTTGGCAAAACTGCAATGAGATAACACAAAGTCTGCACCTTATATATGTTAAGTAAGTACGGCCAGAGCTGCAGAACTCCCCACGATGATACTAGGGAGCAAAGACGTTCCTAGTCAGAAACCTTTCAGAAGCAACAAAAAGTAGGCTTGCCTGTACAATTTCTCGTCACAACATGTCTGTATCTTGGGAAAAAGCAAAGGGAAAACCAGCAGACTACTGCTTCCTAACTCCGGCGGCCACAAAAAAAAAACCGTGCACTTCCCCAGTGAATAAAAAGCACATTCAAGAGCATTTCCAGAGGATAGAAAAGGAATTCAGCCTCTTCCCAGACTTCCCAGCTGTTTCCAAGCACGTCAATTCTAGCTTCACAGGAAAACGATAAAGTGTGCAGAACTAGAATTTTTCTCCTACTTATCCCCCTGACTGGAAGCACTGTTTCAAGGCATCTTTGAAGATCGATTTCTTCTGCCTATTAACTTTGTCAAAAGTGGACCAGTCACAAAAGTAACCACGGCCCAGATAGCGACGCCGAGAAGTTCTCCAATACTGCAGGAGACGGAACCTCTCAGTCCCTTAACCTCCCTCGTTCGTAACTACGCTTTAAAAGGACGGAGATTAAAGGAGAACGCCCAGCCTCATCGAGCCCAACAAGAGAATGAGACGAGACGCGCCACCATTTCGCAAACCGACGGAAAAGAGCCCACCCCACCCCCCGCCCCACGGCTCTCCTCTC